TTCTGCCACAGCTCTATTGGTCTAATGGTCTATGTCATGGACTTTCTTGTGGGAGATCAGGGTTCAAAACCCAGCTAATGCAACAATCTGTGGCAACACAATGAATCCCGTCACAAAAACAAGTATGGTAGCCTGCAAGGCCAAATGCGAGCAAACAAACTCTCAAAGCTAAAAGATGGACTGTTAGCTCAGCAGAATACATACTGTGAAGAACCCAGAGAGGGTTATTTGATTGTGCTTTCTGGAAAACAATAAWTTTTTACATTTAGGCACTCCTGCAATAGTCACACTTTTTCTGTTACAAACTGACTCCGGCCCCCCACCAGAGAAGGGAAAAGTTATGTGTCCCTTACAGGAAAAATTTGGGGACCCCTTGTGTTATCCTGTCTTGTTGTGCCTGCTCCCTGTAGCTCCCATCCGTCATCTGTGGCTCTGAAGCTGCAYGTTTCAAATCTGTTCCAATCCACAACCCTGACCAGCACCGGCAGCTCATCTCTTCTCTGCTCTCACTTAAAAAGACTGCACAGGCTCTTGCTCTGGTTTGTTCCTGTTAGAAATTGGTTGATGTGCACTGTCTGTCAAATATCTATTAAAGTACTGCATTTGTGTGCGAGCAGCTGCAATGAAACAATAAATGAGAGAAAAAAATTGAGATTTTGTGGATTTTTTTTCGTAGCATTCAGAGTGATGATGAAGGCGGACTTGCGCTCCCTCCTTGAGCCGAAGGCGTGCAGAGATCTGTGTGGAATCAGCTGCAGGTCAGAGTTTAAACATCTGAGTGAGAACAAAACTCAATGTTTGTGAGGTTATGGAATCTTGGAAATGAGCAGGCCCTGCTGTTAAAGCATGAACTCATGACTTACAGAAAAGAACAAAGCTTTAAGCAATAATGTTGTTGCAACAAAAGCAGTAATCTTGCAACTCCTGTGTGTGAATGTGTGCAGGTAAATGACCTCCTGCAGCTCCGTGCTGAAGAGTCTCTGTTCCATTTTTATTTAAGAACAAACTTAATGCTGATTTATTTAGTAAACTTTGAAGCAATAAAAATATTGTTTTGTTTGAGTTGAGAAGAAAACAAGTGGAGGTGAATCAGTGTGCTGTTCAGTGAGAGCCCACCACTTCAACTTACCCGTGAATCTGAATACAATTTTTTCCTTGAAACACCAATACATACTGGGTAAATTTAGAGTTAGTGCTGGACAATATTTTAATATCAANATAAATAAATTAAAGAACTTTATTTTTAATGTTCGTCATATTTGAAGCAGAGAGGAGCACCGAGCAGACTGACCGGAGCAATCCCCAGTCAGTCTGCCTGGTGGCATTAATCGTATTAATCGTCAAGTGTCAAAAAGTAATTGATTGTTTTTCTGACGATTAATTGCACACGATACGATTATGCCCAACCCTATATTATAGATTCAATACAATCATTTAAATGACACTGCAATATTTACACAGCTTTCAGTAATAGAAATTGTATTTATGTTTACATCATGTAATGCCTTTTTATATTTTTTTTGTTTAAATACAATGAAAACAGTGGCATCTGTGTTCACCGCGTCAAGTTAACCACACTGTCTGGATCTCATATCGGCCAGGGCATAAATTACAGAGACATTTGTAAGTGTGCAAATTTGGATTTATTCACTTCCTAAAGGAATGCTGAAACCAGGCAGGGCAATTTCTGCAACAAACAGCTGGAGCAAAACAAACTGAAATTTACCCATTTCAGCTACAGATCATTATAAGAAACAAACCATCTCTTTTGTGGGAAACCTAACCTCAGCCCCATTAACCTGCAGGTACAGCCGCTCCAGGAAACAGGACAAGTGTAGATAAAGACAGTGAGGAGTGCTGGAGGTCCCACAGTGACAATGAAACATCACTGTGGTGCTATGTGGAAGTCCATGCCTCCGAGGTGATCCCATTAGGAATTAGTTCAGTAATAAAAAATAAAAACAAAGAGGTACTGAAACAAACATGTCAGGGGGGTAAAGACACTGTCCGAGGTTACTTATGTGAGAAAAGCTGGAAAAATGTTTTTAAATCTCACTGTTTTCTGAATTTAGTGTTGAATCAGGAAGCAGGATTTGTGATCTGGTTTAAAAAAAAAGGCTTAAATACCGTATACTGTATGTCAGCATTGATTTCAACCACCATAATTTTGAGTAACTTTGTAGTGATTAAATAACTACAACTTATCAAAACTAAAGTTATGAGGAAATCACAAGTTCTTTCTGTGGGAAGAATAAACACTTCTGTGTAAATATGAGGAAAACGCACAATAATTTACCATACTCAGTAACTTAAGTTTTTCTAAAATAAATGATATTTATATACAGAATAAAACAAATTACTTATGTACAAATTATGGTGAACAATCAGAATTTTATGAGTTAAACATCAACAAAAATCATGTACGCGTCCGTACTAATTAATGTAAATTATGACAACTCAAAAGGAACAGCAAACTTCAGGTTTAAGATCTTGATAAACCAGCTGTTTCAGGCACATGAACTTATATGGCAAGGGTTTAAGCTAGTGCTGGGTGGTATACCGGTTCGTACTGAATACCGTTTTTTATTTTTGTTAAGATATGAATTTTCTGAATACCGACATACCAGTTTAAATACATTGAACATGTTCGGAACGTTTTGTCGCGGCCACCAGTGAAGTGTTTCCCAGGGGACACTTTTCTTCGCAACACCACTATGTGCGTTAGCAAGCTAATGTTATTGTTGGAGTAGCTTGTTGCAGCAGCGGGTGGCGATTCCGCTACAAGTCGCAAACTCACTGGGACTACACCTCCCAGGATGTCTACTATCAGGAAAGTTGTGATTATTCTGTTATCAACTAGTTTTGGCGATGTTACTGCTGTCTGGAGACGTAGAAGAAGAAATGCGATTCTCTTCACGTTACAGGAATAACTGAGAAGACACCAACAGCAGGAGGAGGGTCCTGCTGCAGCCGAGCCGAAGCTGGACTGTCAGCGGGAACAGCTGATCAGCCATGTGAGGTACCCCCTCCACATGAGAACTTCATTGTGTGATTGGTCAGAAGTTTGTGGGAGTGTTTGTTTGTGCTGAAAGTGCTCGGACGCTGTATTTTGCTTCAACAACTCGCTTCAAAAAAAAAAGAAGAAGGCGACTCGCTTCCAGAGCAGACTGTACCAGGAAGCAGCAGTTTATAAATATAGTCAAACAGTTAAAAAACTCATAAGAGGATAAAACAGACATTTTACATGGTGGAAGCTGATGAAAACTTTGGAGCTTAATCTGGGACCAGTTTGTGGATGAATAACGTCAGATGACAAGTCTCTGACTTGTTTTTTTTGCACTGGACTCCACCGGGAAGAAATCCCGTGCATACTGCCTGCTTAAATGTTTGCTACGTCAGAACTTATTCGGCAAATGTGTTTCCATCTCTCCTTTTGCATGTTAACTCTATTGTAGGATGGGGGACATTGGCCTTGGCGGAGGTTTGCACTCTCCGAGTGCTTTTAGTTTCAGTCAGTGGTGGGAACCAGGATGCAAATCTGCTAATTGTGGACCTAAATATTTCGCTTGCTCTTTAGCGTTCTTACTAATTTTTATGTCATAAGCGGATTTTCTCTTTCTAAAATTAAAATGCAGTACCGCTAAAAGCTAATCATCTACCAGTCATCATTATCTTGAACAGCAGAAGGTATGGCTAGTGCTGGGCAGTATACCGTTTTGTACCGAATACCGGTTTTTATTTTTGTTATGATATGAATTTTCTGAATACCGGACATTCCGGTTTAAATAACGGAACGTTTCGTTGCGGCCGCCAGTGAACTGTTGTTTCCCGGGGGACATTTTTCCTTGCTGCAACGCTACGTGCGTTAGCATGCTAATGTTTGGAGCAGCTAGCTGCAGCCGCGGGTGGCAATTCCGCTGCTTATATTGACTGAGATTTA